CAGATGAGCACACCAGCAGGTGGCAGACCAGGCCAAAGTCGGGCAGTTTGAACTTCATTTGCATTGTCCCCCATAGCTGCAGGGGTCTCCAGCATGGGTGGCATGCTGCACGTGGTCCTGCCAGGCTCTGCGTTAGGAAACAGCTGAATCACTAATGGGAGCCATGGCTTGGAACGGACACCCAGATAAGGGAGGCAGGCGTCCTAAGGAGCTACCGCAGACCTCCCTGGACATGTGTGCTTGTAACACATTTTTAAATTAAGTTTGATTATTTTATGATATAGTTCCGTAGTCTGGGATTTTTATATTTGTTACTTTACACAGATCGAGTTCCCTTGTTCTGAGGGGCCAGTTGAGTTTACCATTATGCAGTTTAATTTCTTGGTGAAATGTTAATTCATGGCTAGAGGAGAGTTTCAAAGATTCAGTTGCTCAAAAACCTACCTCAGTTTTAACCCTCCCCAGCAATATTCCTACCGTGTTCTTATGCCACAATTGTTCGAGTGCTTTTCCTTATTGAAGATCCATTGTTAATGCCAGAAGTAGGGTCTAGATTCATTCCAAGTTAAAAGTTCGTCTTCCATTCACATCCTCAAAGTTCATTGCTTTTATTCTTTGTATCTAGCACAGGAACTGGCTCAGTATCATTGCAAGGAATAATATTCAATAAAGTGCACACCCAATTCATGGCACATTTGTCTCTCTCTCTCTTTTTCCTTTTTTTTTTTTTTTTGTCTTCTTGGTCATCTTTACCCTTGAACTATCAAAGCATCCATCATGTGAAAATGAAGTCTTTAACATTTAAATATGACTTGCAAAGATGATATGTTTGAGTGTGGAGGAGGGAGTCTATAGTAATAGGTACATGACTGTAAACAGTTTTAGTTCTGAGAAATAAAGTGTTAATTTACTAAAAATTAAAATGTAAGTAGAAACATTTCTCTTAAAAGTTTTGTTTGTAAATAACATGCAAAAAATATTAAAGCTTCTGTCAGATCTTATGGCATCTTAATGTCATTCACAGATCTTTAATAATTGTCAAACATTTTTTGAAAGTCTAGTTACTAGATATTACTTGAAAGCTGAGAATATTAGAATTTTTTGGTAACAATTTTCATCAAAAACATTTCTTAATATTTGTTCTCTCCCTCTTACCAAAAAATGTCTTTTTTGTTAAGATTTTTTCATCACAAAGATTTACAGAAAAAGAGACGGAGATCTTTCATGCACTGGTTCTTCTCCCAGATGACCTTAGCTCTGTCACATGTTCTTAGTTCCTCTAACCTCCTTGTCTGGTAACAGTGGAGACAGTCTGAATTGCAGTCTCTGTGGGAAGTTCACTGGAGTCCTCACTGAGTCCCAGAGCAGGGTGGGTGTCTCTCTTCATTCCCTGCTCTGTCCTGCCCATCATGTTACTGCATTCCTTAAGTACCATCGTTCCATCTTGGAATAACAGAGAGGCCTCAGTCTAAAATTTAAAATTTATGTTTTATATCCTGTTTTGTTAAAGATGTATTTGAAAGGCAGAGTTCCTGAGAGACAGCAGGGGATGGTGAAAGAACTCTATTTCAGTCTGCAGCTTCACCCTTGCGATGATCACAATAGGTGGAGCTGGGCTGGGCTGAGTCTCGGGGTCAGGAGCCCCTGTATGGGTGCAGGAGCACAAGACTTGGCCCATCCTATCATACTCTGCCAGGCACATCAGCAGGAAGCTGGGTCAGAAGTGGGACAGCCAGGACTCAACCTTGTGCCCATGTGGGATGCTGTTGCTGCAAGTGGTGACTTTATCTACTTTGCTACACCACTGGCTACTTAGCTGTCCCTGTACTAAGAGCACTGTTACCTTTTTGCCTTTTACCTGGGTTTGTAAAAAGCAGTGCTGAGTAATTTAACCTAAGTATCTTTAGATTTAAAATGATGCTTCATTGTACATCAGGAAGAGATTAGAGTCTAAGAAGAAATTAGAAAATAAAGAGTGTTATGAATAAAATTTGTCCTAAAACTGTTTTGTAAAAATGCTTTCCTAATAATAAAAATTGGGAAAGGTGCTTACTTTTCACAATCCTCATATTTGGGTGATGAAGGTAGCCCAGCTACAATTGAATTTTTCCTACTAAATGGGTATTTTGGATAAACTTTGAAATAAAAGGAGAATATTTTGTTCTATTTTCTTGCTTAACTAGAGTGATTAGGTGTTGCCGTTAGACACAGGCATCGCAAATCTGCCTTACACAGTCAGTGTGTACTATATGACACTCATTGTGTAAGTCACAGTAACAATAAGTGTTTAATTGTATGATTTGTAAATAATTTGTATTATGTCATCAGTGTTTGCACTTTAACTTTTTTATTTTAAATAAGTATTTACAAGTCATCTGTGTTTAAAGAAAACAGAAGCCTGAATATAATACATAGTGAAGTGTGGTGTCTCTAGGAAATGCAGTTTTAGCTGAGGCGAACAGCATAATTTGATGCACATATAGGAAGGAAAAAGTTCTTATTCAATTATTTTCAATAAATATTTTTGTAAAGTTGTATCGATTTTCCATTGTAGTGTATTAATAGTATTACTTTATACAAGGGAGTGATTATTATTGGCACATATAGATTATAAATCATATGAAAAGACAAACTCTGCTGCTATCTATAATTCCAATTTTCCATTAGCTAATTAAATAGCCTTATTAGTAAAAATCTCTAATTTTTTCATCTGTAGACAAAGGGCGTTTATGTCTTCTTTTTAATCAAAAGAGTTTCCAAAACAAACAATATGCAGTGGTGAAATGAGTTTGAGTGTGAAGTTTGAAATCGATAGCAGATTTCTGTCTGTAGGGAAGAATATGTAAGATTCTCATATTTTTTAGCACTGTGACCGAACCCTAGGGAAACATTATTTTTTTAAAGTCTTTGGGCCCAGGAATTATACCAATGATATCTCCTTACTCCATCCCAAACTCTCCCAACTCTGTTTAGCCCTTTCATTTGTTGACTGTAAAATATTCACATCTCCGTTTTAGAGTTGAAGTCACTAAAATATAAAGATGCTAAACTGATATGAAAACAAATTGCTCCCCTTACCTGTTGATTACATTATACAATTACATATTAAAATGTGGTTTCGTCCTTTTTAGATGTGTATATGCACACGATAGTAGTGCTCACTAAGTCTGCTGGCTTAGTTGCCGACCTGTTATGTGCCCGTCAGTGTACTGTTGTTTTCCATATTTTATCTCATTTAATCCTCACTAGTTTCTAAGTTAGATGTTGATTTTATCTCACGAGTGAGGAAACTGAGAGCTACTTGCTTGAGATCACATTCTTGGAAAGCAACTGAGTTAAAAATTTAAACACAGGCAGTGTTGGCTCTGTAGCTCATGCAGTAATGATTAAATATACTGCCTCTTCACCCTACACTGCCTTGGCGTGCTTGACTTTGTAGGGGCAAAGTAGAACTTCCCCTTGTCAGGCACTTCCCACTGTACCGAGGCAGGATACACTGATTGTCACTGGCATGTGCATCAGTGAAGGCCTTTTTTTGATGTATTAAATTTTAAATAGGCTTGCCAGGTGTGTATAGAGAATTACAAAGTCAAGATATGATCTGCGATTTAAAATACACGGTATCCTGTCGTGGGATGATAGGAGCCTAAAGAAACCATATGGGTTGTTCTGACACTAAGAAAACATGGAATATTAAATGACATTTAGGATGGAACAATGGATACTTCTTTAAATTTTTTCAAACTTGAATTACATGTTTTATTTAACTGAGATTTCAAAGTAGATTCCCATGATACTTAACATATCTCTATTCAAAGCCATGTAAGTTAATTCCGAATATATCTTCTCAGTTTTCTGGCTTTTTCACATTATTTGTGCAGGCTAGCAAGAATGAGTTGCAGTTTTATTATAAGTTATATGGTTGCTTCCTCTGGCATTATGCTTCTTCATTAGTGTTTAACGTGTAGATGGTAGGTAGAGCATTTCTCAGAGTCGGTGTGACCTCACTAGCCAACACGAGAACCAGCTCTTCCTGTTCTCACATGTTGACGAATAGAGTATCTCCATGAAAACCACACTTCCCGCTGCACTCCCGTTCCCGTACCAGTTGCTTTTGGTTTCTTTGGAGCTTCAGTAGTTTTGCATGGCTGATCCCTTCAGTATTCTGTTTGTGTGTGTGTGCCACTTTTCACTTTCTTTTTCTCAAAGGAACTTAGAAGCATTTAATCACATCTCTCTAATAGTAACATGTAAAAAAAAATGATTCTTCTCTATGATGTGTGACTACTTCCCAGTTGTACCTCATCTTCTAGATCTAAGTATTCAAAGGAAATGGTGAATGTTTGTGTTTACTACTCTAAAAAAAAAAAAACCCTGTTAACTTCTAGACACTAAACTTCTAAAATTTCTGTTCTGAAAAAGATACAAAGGCAAATAATCAAAACTAAGCATTTCTGACATATTCTTTTTAGGAAGAAAGGTGGATTAGAATAACTTGAAAATTTTCTCCCTAATGCTATATTAACCAGCCTTGTTACAGTATGATTTGCTTTGGTGTTTTAGCAGTCACATGTGTTCTGAATTATTCTCAGAGCACCAGATTCTTTGATGAGAAACATGAGCTAACTGCTCTGTTTGAAGAATAATTTTGACCAAATATGTTATGTTTCCCTTTATAAATACTTCATCATTTATTGATGTATGAAAGTGTATATATGTATATAAATATATTTTACTTAGTTTTGACAATCAGACATTAATAATAATAATAATAACAATAATAATAATGGAGGCAACTGCTTCATCTGGTAAAATAGTTCCATTACAACAAATAAAGGCTACACAAAATCGTGGCATTTAGTTCTAGGGTGTCTGCTCTCTGGACCTGATCATGCTGTTTGAATCTATTGTAGTATTGTTAGTATGTTTCATAAGACATCGTGCAGAGCTGCTGTGATCTTTAAATGTTAATGTTCTTTTCTTATCACTTTACTGTGTAGATACCCTTCATGAGACCCAACTCTGCCACAGCTCAACCTCGGAGGCAATCCTGGAAACCTCTTTTATAAGAGTGATTTTTAAAATGTGGATAAAACTCTCAATAGCGTACATAAAGTAAAGGAGAACAGCTATCTTGTCCTTTCCATAAGCTTATCACTGCAGAAAGTTGCCTTTGCTTGTCAGGTTTGAATAGAACATAATTGATTGGTTTGTTGTTTGGACTGACAAGGCAGCTAGTCTGCCTTTGTGAATTTTTTCATCTACCTTTTTTTTCCTTGTATTTTGCACTAATCAGAAATATTTGGTATGTGCATTGCTGAAAAATATCTTTGGAGAATTGTCCTACTAAGTAACGCCTTTTCCTCTTTTGGCAAACGATGGTATACAGTGTTTGAACTTATGGAAGAGTGAGTTATGGGACTTTAACACAACACGCTGCTCCTGTTGCTGAACGATATTAGTAGGAAACAAGAAAGACAATGCTTTCCAACTGTCTGCTGATCTGTTTCATCTTACTGCTACATATACATATGAAATGCTGCATTACAAGACAACTATAGATTCTTAATATAAAGGTCATACCTATTTATAACATTCAGCAAAATTGAAAGATCGGTGAAGCATATGCCATTGTTTTTGTCTCAATTTTAGCGTAAAAGCACTAATAATATTAGCATGACATTTTTACAACTTCAGATTTTAAGCTCTTCGATACAAATATACATGTATTCATTTTTAGAGAATTTTTTAGTAGCAACCAAATTTATTCAGTCCTAATTGTTTTAATATGAACTTTCTCTGTTCAGTAGAATTGTTTTTCTTGAACATAAATATGTCATTATGAAGTAAACAGAGACACAAAGCTTACTGACTATCCAAACTGCCACCTGAAAGATCTTCATCAACATCTGTATCTTTGCAGAGATTTACAGAATTAAAACTTGGTCCTAATTAAAACTTAATTCAGTCAACGACAGAATGATGTTTACTGTTCCGTCATTCAATCTTGAACTGGTTTGGAAGAGATTCTCTTGTGAAACTGAAATGCACATATACATGTAAATTGTCAACTGTCTCTTGGAGTTTCCTGACTCACAAATGTGGTTTTGAACCTTTTTCCAGGTGTAGTGATAATTGAAAATAGATTAAGTTTAGAAGTAGAGTATTCAGCATTGTACAGCTAAAGCAAGTTATAATGGTATGGTTGCTGTGTTCCAGTAATCTGTTGTCAGAGTAAGAACCACTTGATCAGAATAGTTTAGCAAAAGTAAAATATGGATGAAATTACACATGATCTGAATAATTTCCATAAGGATAGCATAGTATTGGACATAAAAAATATTTTTTACAAAACCAGTAAGCTGTTTTTTCCCCTTAAAGAGTAAGTGTTATTTATCACTGCATAGTCTTAAGTGAAAGTTGATAATTCTTACTGTAGCTGAACTCCAGCAAATTTTAAGAATCATTTTTTTGGATGAAATATGCTAATACCTTAGGTCTGGACTCTCTTTTAATATAAAGGAGAAGTTACTAGTGATCATTTCATCTTAGGATTTTTTGGGAAGCAGTTAGACCAGTGATTTGGGTGCCATTTTGAATTACAATTGTTTTCACCTTGGTTCCAATTAGAAAGCAGTATATCAACATTCTGCATTTTCATGTTTTTTATTGGCAGAAATGTTTATTTCATACGTGGTGCTGTCACTAAGAATCTACATGATTTTACAGTACTGATTAAAATTCATAATTTACAAGAAAATGTGCACTGCCAAGGTATAGTCAACTGAAGGACTTTTGAAGAAAGTAGAATAAAACACGTTTTGCTAATAATGTGCACACTTTTATATTTCCAATGTGTAAAATTAATGCTTGTCCATAGTTGATCCATTTACTATTCAGTTAGTGTGCACGTGAGAAAATGTGTACTTATTGGCTCCTATCTTGCAGGTTCATGTAAGAGTAAATAACATATCAGTTACATGATGGGTATTTGTCGCGCTGTAAGAAAGCAAAACAGACAAACAAAAACAGTAAAACTTTAGGAAGGAAACTTCATCTCCTCCTTAAATACAAGAATTTTGTAGTATGAGTAGTGGTTCTCAAGTGCAACATGAAATTATTTTAAGATTTATTTGTACTTATTGGGAAGGCAGATCTACAGAGAGAAGGAGAGACAGAGAAAAAGATCTTATATCTGTTGGTTCGCTCCACAAGCGGCTGCAATGGCCAGAGCTAAGCTGATCCAAAGCCTGGAGCCAGGTGTCTCTACTGGATCGCCCACCCAGGTACAGAGCCATCCTCTACTGTTTCCCAGGCCGCAAGCATGGAGCTGGATGGGAAGCGGGGCAGTTGGGATACCAACTGGCGCCTGTATGAGATCCTGGCACATACTAGGAAAGGACTTCAGTCACTAGGCTACCACTCTGGGCCCCAACATGGAGTTTTTTTAGAACACAAGTGGTTGCCCCATTGTCTGTTGTCCTTCTTGACCATAGGATTCCCTCCTGCAGTGGGACTATTTAATCCAGTATGTCTGGATGAGGTGTGGAAGTGTATTTACATCCCTGGCAGCTTCTCAGTTGATGCTGATACTGCCGGTCTGGGATACTGCTTTGAGAACCATTTGTGTTTAGTATTGTGCTTGGCCTTGACTGCTATGGGAGCGTTGTTTTAATCTTCTTAAAAGGGTCCTTAGATTTTAAACCATATGAGCTTTTAGATGCAGAATAGTTTGTTTCAAGTACAACACATACAAAAAATTTATTTTCATGAATTCCACTGAAGGTTTATTTTACATGTGGAATAGAAACATTACTGTTTTAGATGGAAGAGAATCAAGGGATGCAGACTTTGTCCAGACACTTTTGTTTAAGAAGCAAAGACTGGAATTTAGAATTATGTTTGACATGAAAACAGTTCAGGCCTAGACTTTATTCATAACTTTAGAAATTAAATTTATATAATACTTACATATTGTGAATTGCTGGTTTCTTGAATGTTTTATAGGTATGTTGTTAAAATAGATTGGTGACTGATAATATGGTGTGACTGATAATATTTATGCTCATTGTCCTATTTCCCTGTCTTTACCCTCTATTGTGTGATGAAAATCACTTAAACACTGAAGAGTGACATTATTTCATAAAGGAAACCCCCCACTGTCTATTGTATTCCTATGTTCACAAAACCCTTTCAAAGGATTCAGAAAGGCTGCACAGCAGAGTAGGATATTTGAAATATGAATTTGTCTTTAATTTTCTGAAATAGTTGAACTTATTTAAGAGACTAATGTTAGAGTTGCCTGGCATATGAGAACAATTTTTTTTTTCCTACCTGTCTGAATCAGCAGTTTGTAAAATTATAGCATTAAGGATTGTGATTGCTAAGATAGGAGTGTTCTGCAGATATCTTACAGAAAGCGTTCTTTGCCTTAGTGTTCATGCTAAGACTTTGTGTAGGCCTGCCAGTAAGAGTCACTGCCATCCAGGGTACATGAAATGTAACGACATTGTATTTTCTTGCTGGGCTTTGTAAATAAAATAAGATTGACCCCAGCCATTATTTCACTTATCTCACTTACATTGTAAAACAAAAATCTGCGCTATTAATTAGAGCATAATCAGTTAATTATGAACAGAAAAATGCAAAGTTTTGTAGCACCCATGCCCAGCAGGTTGTACTATTGGAAAAAAAAATGTCCAAGGGCATGAACAGGTGGAAGTCAAGTGTATTAAGGAATAAAGCAGACGTGTGTCAGGTATGAAAATGTCTAATCATTTCTCATGCTGTGAAGAGGTGCTTGAGCTTACTACTTTTTTATATATAAAATGTTCGATTTCTTGATTTATTTTTTATTTCTACTCTGTGTCTGATGTGTTGAGTGACTCTATCCTCTAAGTGACTATTAAATATGGTTCTGAGTGTGCATAACTGTCCATGTTCTTTTACACATTATATACATTTATATGCAGAGAATACATCTTATCTTGCCACTCATTTACTCATTTCTGCTTGTGATAATGGTGTTAATAGGTTCAAGTCTTTCATATTAGTCTTATATTTGTGAAATATTTAAAGATATTTTCTGATTATTTTGTGAACAAAATGCTCATGTAGATTGCACTAAAATTGTGTATTATAAGGAATAAAATATTGTACTAATTGATTTGAAGTGTTAATCTAAAATTGGTAATGAAGAGTTTTGTGTAAGCTTGTATTATTCTAAGAGTGGTTTAACTCATGGGCTACTGTTCAATAAAAAAAAAATCACTACGCATTACGAGATTTTTGTGGGTGCTTAAGCTGCCAGTGAGACTGTTGTTTTAGTAATGCTAATAATCATGGCCAATTTTTGAATCTTTTGTATGAATTTTTTTTTTTTGTAGAATTGAAAAACTTTGAAAATTCAATTGACCCATCCCCTTGAAACTTACTTTGTTTTTCAGGTGGATTAATGTTATAGTGTATATTTCCAGAATCAACTTACTGTTTTATTCTGTGTAAGCTTGGTGGAGATCTAAGTAAAATTTTCACTGGTATATGGTCGACTTCGTTGTGAAAACGTACACCTGTAAAATCTTACTGTGGATTTTGCTTCTTCCTGAAGTTTCGCTTATCATCTAACTGTTAAATTGTGTGCGTAGGAGGTACACTTAATTGCTTCAATTGGTTTTTGAAGATGTTATTTAGTGCGCTCTCCTAATGATATTATCATTAGAAATTAAGGAATGAAAACTTTCTGGAATACTGCTTCTTAGGCAAAAGAGGAAATATAATTGTTTCTTTTTGTCTACAATATTCTAAGTGGTCAGGTAGACACCTGGCTGCCTGTTGTATGAATCATGGCACGTTTGAAGGCCAGTCATCTTGTTCCTCTTCTTAGTCTAGGATGCTATGCTTAATCATATGCTAAGTAAGTACTAAAATACTTAAGTAGTATGTTTATTTGATTGCTGCATTTTATTTTCAGTGTGTGAAAAATCATACTTAATCAATATATTTATAACTGATGTGAGTCTGATGTCCACATTATTGTGTTTGGTAAGAATTTAATAAAACAATGTTTCATTTTATTTTCTAAGTGAAATACATCTTATGTCATTTAAAGCTTTAATTTTAGCATGCTGCATAATGTCATGTAAGATAAAGGATACTTGAAGCATTCAGCTTGGATTTTATTTTAAAAATGCAACGTTCCTTTGCTGACTAGTTTTATATTTTTAGCACTGTGAAATGCTTTCTCTTTATCTCATATGTGCTAATGGTATAACAATGTGTATTTATTATATAAACATTTAAAAAGTTATTTAATAAAGTGTATTATGCTCATCATTATCATTTGAGTCAAAGACCACTTTTACATAAGTTTTTAAACCTTTTTTCCACAATTTTGATAAATGTACACTATTTATAGCTGCAATGATGTTTTTCCAGGTATAATTAAGAAACAGAGGTAAAGACTGCAAATAAAATTGGTCCATATTACAGCTTTTAGGTATCAGATAATTAAAGGATTTTATGTGAGTTTCTGACTTTAAAGTTTTTTCAAACAATTTAATGTAAAACCTAGCCTGAATTTGTTAACTAACAAGATTTGATAAAGTTTCCAAAGTGGCTAAAGCAAAATAGTGGACTCAAGTATTTCATAATTTTGACCATCTGCATTGTTCCTTAGATCAAAGGTTCTCAGTGGTATTTCTTACATTTCCCCATAGTATTACAGTTCTTGTAAATTCTACTAGAATTCATTAGTGTCATTCAGAATATTTTTCTTACCAGCATCTAAAGCTATGGTTTTTAAAATGCAGTGTTCTGTGATAAAAAATACAATCAAAATTATTTTTTCACATGGGATTAACTTTAGAAACCTGTAGAAAGAGAGTATGTATGCATATTTGTTTGTTAGCAAATCTTTTGAGTTCAAGATTGGGTTATTTCTTTTGGATGTTAATAGTTGTTAATGGTATTCAACTACTTCTTTTTACTATTTAGAGTTAAATTTTTTATTCATTGCTGAGTAAGATATTTTATAGAACTTTTCTATCACACCTAGTTATTTGGAAACATAACACACTTAGGCGTTACACCTGCAAATTTAAGTCTTTTTGAGAGGCCTGATTTATGAAGAAAATGAAAAATTAGATAATTTTAAATTGCATATGCTTCAAATTATCTTCTGACAGAGCTGGCATATAAAATCTTTATTTTCCTGTTTTCACAGTCTTGATTTGAATGATAGCATGGTTTTACAAGTAAATGGAAGTTAG